TTACCTGGAGTCTACCTGGAGGTTATTCCGGGGATCAACGCCTCCGCGGCCCGGTCCACGACCAGGCCTCCCGGTGGATCAGGGCCTGATCAACCAGGCTGCTACTGCTGGCCGCACGCAGTCCAACGTACGAACCACAGCCTAGATGATCCGGCACTGACTTTAGGTATCTGTCCAGCTCTCTCTTGAAGGCAGCCAGGGGTTTATTGGTAATTTCCCTTATGCTTGGTGGGAGGCTGTTGAACAGTCTTAGGCCCTGGACACTTATGGTGTTTTCTCTTAGTGTACCAATGGCGCCCCTACTTTTAATTGGGGGTATTTTGCATCGCCTGCCCAGTCTTTTACTTTCGTAGGGAGTGATTTATGTGGGCAGATTCGGGACCATTCCTTCCAGGATTTTCCAAGTGTAGATTATGATGTATCTCTCTCCTGCGTTCCAACGAGTACAAGTCAAGTGCTTCCAAGCGTTCCCAGTAGTTAAGGTGCTTGACAGAACTTATACGTGCAGTAAAGGTTCTCTGTACACTCCCTAGATCTGCAATTTCACCTGCTTTGAATGGATATGTTAATCTACAGCAGTATTCCAGCCTAGAGAGAACAAGTGATTTGAAAAGGTTCATCATTCATCAGACATTACTACTCCCAGGTTCCTTACATTATTTTTCCGCTCTATTGTATGGCCAGAGTTTGTAGTATACTCTGTTCTAGTTATTATCCCCTCCAGTTTTCCATAACAGAGTACATAGTTGGAATTTGTCCTCATTGAACATCATACTATTGTTTTCCATTGCCCACTGGAAAACTTTATTTATATCTTCTTGGAGCTTAACCGTGTCCTCAATAGATGACAGCCTCATGCAGATCTGATTATCATCTGCATAGGATGATACGGTGCTGTGGGTTACATCTCTGTCTATGTCTGATATGAGGATGAGGAACAGGATGGGAGCGAGTACCGTGCCTTGTGGAACAGAGCTCATCACTATGGCAGCCCCGATTTAACTCTTTGACCACATTTGTGTTCGATTGGTTAGGAAGTTGAAGATCCATCTCCCCACTTTACCAGTTATTCCTTTAGCACATATTTTGTGCGCTACTACGCCATGATCGCACTTGACAAACACTTTTGCAAAGTCTGTGTATATTACATCTGCATTCTGATTTTCTTCCAGTGCATCCAAGCCCATATCATAGTGATCCAGTAGCTGTGAGAGGCAGGAGCGACCTGCCCTGAACCCATGTTGCCCTGGATTGTGCAGTTTTTGGGAATCCATAGAAAGCAAAAATAATTTAAAAGGGTAATTGAAACTGGTGATTCAAGCTCATTAGGAAAAACACAGGAATCAATAACTGCATTAATTTCAAGATTCACTGCCTTCATGGCCTAGTCCCAAACCAAGCCTCCCGATTGCCAGCCTGACTGACCATGCTGATAGTGACGGCCACACAGTCTGACTGATTAAAAAGTGACTTAAGGAACTTATCAAATTCCCTCTTGAAGACAACTGGAGGTGGGAGTCAAAAAGTTAAGGTCCCCTTACGATTACTGAGGAGTAAATATGGAGAACAGCTCCTTGGTTTATATTTTGAAGTGTACAGTACTGTATTGAGTAGGGTTTGCAACAGTTTTATTTGAGAAGATTATCCAGAAAGTGTTTTGTTTTTCCTTTATCTCAGGTTAGATTAGGGGTCAGTTAGGTTGAAGTCAATTAGGTTAGTTAAGTATGGTTAGGTTGTTACACTGGGTAGCCTAACCCACTGAAACCCAGCTCAACCAAACACAAGACTTAACTAAATTCAATTTAAAACCCAATGCAACCAAACCTAACCCCACTTAACCATACTCAATAAAAACATTAATTACCTAACAAATTAAACAAATATTCTACAATGGTAAACACCTCTTGAGTGTCAAAATCTTACATATTGCTCAGTGAACAATTGTAATTGTTATTTTTTGCTAACATTACTGCCAAGCTGAATTGAATCCTAGCTGCCAATTTGATATTGTGCAAATTTTGCCACATATATTCTCCCACTCATAAATGCATTTAAGTTGCTGTACACCTTTTTGGGGCAATTTCCATAAAATAAATCTAATTACTGTAAAGCCCATTTATAACTACACCTTAAACTATAAATTATTGTGTCATCAAACTCAGCCAAGAAGCTGTTATCCATAGTAACCTCATCAAGGTCTCTTTTATTGTATTCATCGAGTCCCTGCTGTCCATCGGAGGAATTTTGCACCATCTACCAAGTCTCTTGCTCTCATATAAAGAACAGTTTGTTAACTCTTTAGCTATATAGTATGTGACATATACACAAAGACCAAACTGCGAGACTTGTAAATGAACATTATTCCTGGGTGTTCAAATATGCAACGTGCCAACATTTTAGCCCTAGCTCAACTGCCTGGGTTGCCTACCACCTCTTCTCACCTGAAGAGAGAAAAATATTGGCCACTATATGCATCATGGCTAACACTACTCAGATCCAAGTATGACAGTTCCACAACACTTTGGTGACTTTACTGATGAAGATTTTATCCAATCAGTAACTTATCAACCAAATACAGAGAAACAATGAAAGAAGTGAAGAGGGAGTTTGAAGTAATCAGGCCCTCAGCCTAGAGATATGTTCAGTCCTTCAGCCTTAGAGATATGCTAGATTCATCAACTTTGATACCTGATGCTTATCAGTTTTCTAAAACATTTATATAATAACACTGTTTCAGTAAAACATGCACACAATGGGGCACCAACATAAGAGCTTGACTACTTGTGAAATCAAACATAAGTTTTATTTTTAATTAATTTTTCTTTTCATATTTCTCTTATTAAAAATACAGTGTAACATTACAAACTACTAGTTGGTGGCACTCAGGTATTAGTTTATATTTTACAATACATACAACTAAGCCTAAGTATTTCATGTGCAAATTATTATTTTGGGATATAAGCAAAAATGGTTCATTAACTTTAATTTTGCAGCACACCTAAGTTTATCAAAGCTTAGTACTGAGTCATGTCACATGCCAGCTGAATGTAAACAAAGATAAGCGAGACCAGTGATGGAGGTTAGGTTAAGTTATGTTAGGTTATTTTAGGTTCAGCTAGGTGGTTTTCATTTGGTTTGGCTAAATTTTCACCATTTGCACAACAAAATACTACCTCAACTACAATATCAACTTAATATTTTACACTCCGAACTATAATTAAGGGCCAATCCCTTGTCCATCAGTGAGTGAGCTGAGGATGCAATCAACTGTATCATGAGCACCCACAGTTAAAACATTAAGGTTATTAACACAGTAGCCTGGAAGCAGCCAGCAAATTGAAAGTAAATGAACGTGATGCATCTGGCTATACGATTCATTATGTTTATGTCTGGGTAACTGCTCGAGTAGCTTCAGCTTTAAAGAAAGAATTATTAAGGTGATCAAGATGCAAATGCTGAAATTCTTTTCAGCATGAGTATGTTAAGAGACAACACAAGTGTCAAGGTGCCCAATATTGTTCAACTGCCTCCCAGCATACATAAGGAGGGATTACCAATAGACCATCAAGAGGGAGCTGGACAGGCACCTAAAGTCAGTACCTGACTAGTCGCGCTGTGGCTCATATGTCGGCTTGTGTGCAGCCAGCAGAAACAGCCTGGTTAATCAGGCCAATCTACTGTGAAAGGACCCCAATGGAAGTAAGTCACTGTCTGACTTTTTTAGGTTATCCTAGGTTCTCTACACATATGCTGCTATGTATGATAATCTATGTAACTGTATTTGTGTATACCTGAATAAACTAACTAACTTACTTAGGCCTGGTGATGGACTGGGGTATGGGGGCACTGACCGGTTATACTCCAGGTAAGATAAGTTATGACCCAAATTACACATGTCTTATGTTTAGTATATTTATTTTTATTTTAGGGCATTGAACAAAAGCTTATGCTAGGTAAGGTAATGCCCTAGTAGCATCATTAACCATTAAGTGAAAATATTTAAAGTAAAAATAAGTTTAACAATTTATTAAATATAATTGTCTACAACCTAGTCTAGGCCAGTAGGCCTACAAGTGATTCTTTTATTTTAGGCCGTGAATGGTGGACCAAACAAGGCTAGTAAGTTTATTCAGGTATACACAAATTGTTACAAAGATTATCATAGACAGCAGCATGTGTGTAGAGAACCTGGGATAACACAAAAAGTCAGACTGAGTGACATTTTCATGGGAGTCCTTTATATATATGATGTAGATGGGCACGACCATATACTTGATGTAGATGGGCACGACCATATACTTGATGTAGATGGGCACGACCATATACTTGATGTAGATGGGCATGACCATATACTTGAAGTAGATGGGCACGACCATATACATGATGTAGATGGGCACGACCATATACATGATGTAGATGGGCACGACCATATACTTGAAGTAGATGGGCACGACCATATACATGATGTAGATGGGCACGACCATATACATGATGTAGATGGGCACGACCATATACATGATGTAGATGAGCACGACCATATACATGATGTAGATGGGCACGACCATATACATGATGTAGATGGGCACGACCATATACATGATGTAGATGGTGTTGCCTGGACGTGGTCCATCAGCAGGTCTGCCTCTGTACACAACCCACATTACCAGCACCACAATATTATCACAATATATGGAGCGAGAGGAGCCAGTCAGTGGCTATTAAAACACGTTTGGTGCCTGGCACGGTGTGGCGGCCACCATGTACACTCACCCACCATCACCACCTCACAACAGTAACACCAAGTCATACCATTGCAATACCTTAGGTGGGAATCACTGCACAAGTTCACACAGCTCAGGAAAACAAAGAGATGGAATATTTCCCTCCCACCACCATCACTGCTGCTGCTGCTGCTCATCAACAACAACAACAACAGCTGCTGCTGCTACAACTATCCTAAAATATATTACCACACACCCAGCCATAATTATGGTAATTACACTCTCAGCCATGCCGAGAACACGATGCTGATTTTTTTCCTCTTCTATCTCTGTGAGAAATATAAGTTGTGGATACTGAGTGTGGATGTGTGAGGCAGGTGTAGCACACACTATGTTAGTGCTCACACAGCTACTGACTCATAATGTCATGTATTAGGTGTTCTGCGGTGCTCGAAATATCTCTGAGCGGCTCTTTTTCCAAGGAATTTGACCTTTCCTCCCATACCTTTCTTGGATCAAACCTGATTTTCTCATATTTCCCCCCATGACGCTCTACTCTATGACCTTACGGAGTAACGCTCCCCTAATATATAATAATATTAATAATAATGAAGAAAAGAAGAAAATAAAGCTGATAAAGAATAAAAACATGAAAAGAATAAAATAAAGATGATGACGAAAGAGAATTATTATTATTATTATTATAATCAAGGGGGAAGCGCTAAACCCGGAGGATTATACAGCGCCTGGGGGGGGGATGTGGAAGGCATTCAGGCTTAATTCGGGGAACTGGAGCACAGATCCAATTCCCTAAATCAAGAGCCCCTCACCAACATCAAGGAACCTTCCTTGAGGGGGACGAAAGAGAAGAGGAAGATGAAAATAAAAATAAAGAAAAAGAAGAGTAAAAAGAACATATTTACATGAGTGATGGTGTGAAGGTGATGTAATATTATTATCAGTAACAGTATTTCCTGCATTCCAGTCTCCTGTCTTATTATCTACAATAATAGATGTTTATTTTATGTGTAAAATTATTTTATTTATTATGTAGAACTGCCCTAAAAAAAATAGAGGTTTTCGAAAACTTTCTCATG